AGCCCTCCTAATCCCCGGTCTAGAACGATCCCTACTTGCATCCTTACTACAATTTGACAACAAGAGGGTTAATTTGTGTGCGTATAATTCTCGCATCAATAAACAATCGCGTTAAACAAATTCTTGGCATAAGTTTCATGCAATCATAGTAACGAATGCCTCGTCAACACTTATAGTTTTCATGTTGCTTAATGATTCTTGCTTGTATCTCTATTATGCAATTCATGTAGGGAACTTGTGAGGAATGCTTTGGGTTGTCGTATGCAATCATCCAATTCATTAACTTAAGGAAAACTTGACGGTTAATTTAAGCGGACCTAATTAACCCGGAGCGTTGAGAATTCATAGTTTATTGAAAAGCAATTAGAAATCGTTTTGTATGCAAGTATAACATGTATGGAGATGAACCCCTTAGCTAGCAATCCCATCCATTCATTTCCGTAAAATTCGTATTTACAATTTGTTTTCTTTGCAAGTTTCCATTTTAGTTTAAATTCGTCCAAATCCAATCCCCCTTTATTTTGTTTAAGTTTTAGTCTTAATCTTTCTTACTTTTAGTTTTGCATTCTTCGCATTAATTAGTGTTTTAAACTTGTTTTTACGTTTTTGAAGTCAAATCGAAGAGATTAACAATCCCTCATAATCCCCGGTCCAGAACGATCCCTACTTATACACTTCACTACAATTGACAAAAAGAGGGTTTAATTTGTGTGCGCATAAATCTTCGCATCAAGATACAGATAAGTTGTACATGTCACTTTAGGTGACTCCGACTTATATGCTAGCAATAATTGATGAGATAATTGATGAGATATGGATTCAGCCGTACAGGTCATGTGAGGTGACTCCGGCTAATATGTTGATGAGCTATTAGTTCAGCTGTACAAGCCGCCAAAAGTGGATCCGGTTGACATACCATTTCATATTAATTTATTTCACCTGGGTTACTTATTCTGTGTTAGTGAGATATTTGGCATGGCATATTTATGAATTTCGCTATTCTGAGCATGGTATTGAGATACACATATATATATATATATATTCTATTTTCTAGGAAAGTATACAGGTGTTACGGCGAGGGGTTACTGCATTTGGTAATTGAAATTGGTTTGAAAAGTTTTGTTTCACTCACTCACATTTTCTATTTATGCACCCCTCTAGGTATTAGCAGCAGAGTTTTCGTATCGACGAGGATTTTGGCACTTCCCAGTACAGGTGGCTTCTTTTGATGTTATAATCATTATCTTACCTTATTGTACTTTACTTATGCTCTGTACCACACGTGAAATGGGTCTAGACCCTCTCACCGCGCACTCGTGTACTTAGGCACTTTTAGATTTTAATTTATTCACCTTTTATACATTATCACACTTATGGCTTCATCACCTTCCTGGTGTCAGCCAACACGCCTCAATTCGGGGTCCTAGTGGACATTCCGGGTCAAGGTGTGTCACCAACGATTGTCTTCAAGAATGTAATTTGGAAGAAGCACTAAGCACAAATTTTGTGCTTCTGCAATACTCTACTTTCTTTTTTTGGGGAAACATAAAACTCCTTCGAAAGTATAGCCCGATAACCCAAAAAATGAGTAGAAAGTGCTCAATCCAAGGGTTAGCTGATTTGGTAAGGGTTTTGCCTCTCGATTATAGATGATCTAGGGTTTCTGGTTACTTTTGTGGTCACCTAATTAGCATTTTCTCCATTTTTTATTTAATTGTACGATCTAGGGTATAGAGTATAATTCCTGCATCTTAATTTGTACAATGTAGGATTAGGCGTTTACTTGTGGCGAAAGGTGGATGGAGGCATAATGGAGAAACAATGGTGGTAGTGCAGCTTGTTTTGGTATTTTCTTAGTTGCTCGGAGCTTGATACATCGTCGGAAGCCTTCAAGCTACTTTGTTGTATTAAAATGAACAAAATTTTGTTTTGTTTACTAAGTCCTGGTTTTAAACATAAAGTTAGAATTCATGACGTTTCAGCTACATACTATGATATGGACCATATGGTTAAGACACAATTGAAGACTTCATGTGGGCGATGACATTTGTGGACATGATAATTTGTTTCAAGTTTTACTTTCTGCCTATGTCGTGGACATAGGTTACCAGTCACCAAACTTTGCCTGTCAACCACTGTCGACGAAATTCGCTTGACCGTCACATTTCAGCTTGGTCGAAAGTCACCTCCCATCACCTACACTGGTGGTCTCTTGTCTATTACCTTATTGATAAAAATTATTGTTCTAAAAATCCCCTCTTGGCCTAGGTGCTAAGCAGCAGGTCACCGCCCCGATTAGTCCCTAGGGGTTTGAAAATTAAGAAAGTGTACATAGACCTGCTTAGACGTCTGCCTAGCCTACTTAGGCGCCTGCCTTGCTCGCTTAGGCGCCCACTTTGCCTGCCTAAACCTGCCTAGGTCATGACACTTACTTAAATAAAAAATCGATAACTTTCATTTTGCATTTTATTTTGTCAATAAAATGTAAGAGACTTGTTAAATACTTGGATGAACACTTATTATATGTTTCTTCCTCATGTTTTCAATATGTTCTAATACTTTATAATTTATATGTCATTTGATTTTGCAATAGATGTGTTATGTGTTTCTTTTACTATATATAGACACTTATTTACACAATATATAATAAATTTACTTAAATCCTGAAATTGGTATTAGGCAGAATATCCGGTATATAAAAATAATAATCTGTTGGACTAACTAGTCAAGCCAACTAGTCGACTAAGATAGATATGTTAGTTAATAAACCAAAGATTAAATGACCAATCTCAATTATCAATAGTTATCTTAGTCAGTAAGCTCTTAGTTTGTTCTAAGTTATTAGCATGTCAGGTGAGCATGATTGTGAGCACATACTTATTAAATATTCAAGTGATACATGTAACATGTATATGTATGTGACACAATATAAGTAACTATGAACACAAGATGTTTTTGGCTGGGAAAACCCACCTCTAGGTTAAAAAATCAAAGACTTTCCGCTGAGTCCAATCCACTAGTATAATCAAGGTTCTTACAAAGTACCACGTAAAGCTTAATTCCTAGAACCTTATCCATGGAGCAGCTTTACCTTTGTGCAACCTTACCTCACACAAGATAGATTCCTTCGGTCTTCACGAAGTGGCAGCTCATCCTGAGCTCTTGACCTTGTGGCACCGAGACCAGCTCATAAACTATGCACATGATGATATGACAATGATATGCAGATCTGGATTTAGATGTTTAGTCAGTTTCTCCAATCAAATAGTTGAAGGAAGAAACTAACGAAAGTCCTACAGTGGGTCATTTTTAAAGATTTGAAACTAGAAACACTTGACCAATAATTTAATGCAAAACCAAAGACAATGCAACCCCATTCTTCAATGATTGGGTGTTTAATGCACGAAAGAAGGTTTTGCAACTAAGGTTTCATAAATGAAGAACAAAGAGGAAAGTAAGGTCTTAAGGCCTTTCTCACTCTAACTTCTCGCTAGATATATAATTTGAAAACCCCCAAAAACAAAGAACCTTGGTTGGGGATCTTAACCCCAAAAGCTTTGGCTTGTTTTTCACCTACAAAGGACACATGTTGTCCTACAAACTGATCAGAAAAGATTAAGGGCTGAGATCTGACTATCAGCAGAAGCTGTCAGGAAACCCATGTGGGTAGGTCTTAATTTGTGTGCCCAACTTGCTAGAAATTAGCACTCAAGCCAGACTCGGCAACTAAGCTAGTGAAAATGAAGTAGGAAGACGTGAAATGCACATGCATGAACAAAACTTTTGAAGTAGGTGCGTCCCATCCTTGTACATTTCTTCACAACAAACACAACCCATTTACAATATTGATAAGGAAACCTAAAGTATAGACTTTACAAATCCACCTAGCTGCCTTGGGCGCTAGATCCCAGCTGCCGCCCAACTAGCTCTTAACGTCTTTTAGAACCTTTATAGAAATAAAGTGTTACTTGGTAGATTTGAATCCCAATCTCATAATTGTCTATAGGTTATGTGGTTACGAGGGCAATGATTTTTATTTTTTGGTCCAATGGCAATAGGCATTATATGACCTTTTGTACTTGTTTTGGGAAGGGGAAGCTTTCTTGTGGCGTTGAATAGGAAGAAGAGAGTTTAACGGGCAAGTTTCACGTTAATTAGTTCAAAATTAGGGTTTAATTTTAAAAATAATTTATTAAAGAAAATTCATTTTATTTTATTGAATTTCTATAAACTTCAACTGTACATAAAAGACGTCGACAAGAATTAAAGATACTTATATTAATGACATGTTTACTTATTATGAATGAAAGTATGCAAGTATATATTTACATTATAGAGTGGGAGATTTGAGTTAAGGTAAACAAACATTCTATATACATATAAAAGATCTACTAAATCGTAATGCTAAGCGTTGGTGGGTTCCCTGTTTTATACATGGGAAGATGTGTTTTTGTAATAGTGTCATCACGTTTAGTTGGCAGAGGTACAAGGCCCATCTTATCCTTTTCTCGTCTTTGAAAGTTAAGATTTTATTCTAATATAAAATAAAAGCTTACCACACTTTTGAGTGGTCCGTTGTCGTCCAGCGATTAGGATATTTGGCTTTCGCACAGGAGACCCGGGTTCGATTCCCGGCATCTACATATTTTTGGAATTTTAATTTAATTTAATTTTTTAACTTTATTAAAATTATTTGTACTCTGAAATAAATAAAAATAGGGTTGGGTGTTTTAAGTTTTAGATAATCAGAAAGACAATATTTTTGGAATTTTAATTTAATTTAATTTTTTAACTTTATTAAAATTATTTGTACTCTGAAATAAATAAAAATAGGGTTGGGTGTTTTAAGTTTTAGATAATCAGAAAGACAAGAACATAATGACGGACGGACGGACGGACGCCTTTAATTTAATTTAATTTTTTAACTTTATTAAAATTATTTGTACTCTGAAATAAATAAAAATAGGGTTGGGTGTTTTAAGTTTTAGATAATCAGAAAGACAAGAACATAATGACGGACGGACGGACGGACGCCAAAAGCCCAAAACCCTGCTCTCTGCTTCTGAGTCTGCCTCAAGCAACTTGTGCCCCACTCCTCTTCCCCTAATTATTTCCTCACCAAATCAATACCCTACCCACTTCCTTCTCTGCATATCAATTTTCATTCATCCATCATCGCGCAGAATCCGCACAACGATTGACACAGGGATTCACAGATGGCTAAGGAAAACAGTTGCTTGACTCGCGTTGCCACCGGCGCTGTAATTGGCGGAGCTATCGGCGGTGCCGTCGGTATTTCTTCAAAACCCACTTTTCATATTTGCTTCAAGACCCTTGTTTTTGTTCTACTTTTCGCTTTCTTCCCTACCGTATCTTGGCTTTGTTGTGGAATCATCCTTTGATGTTCTTATTTCATCTCTTCGATTACTCTTCCATCTTTTAAATGCATGTTGTTCGGTTTGTTTTGACGGGCATATGTGGAAGTAAAAGGAATTTTGTTTTGGGTTTTCTAATTTTTGTTGCAGCTTGTAAATTGCGAGGTTGTTAAAGACGATAGGCGCTAGTCAGTCGGTGGATTGGAGCTTAGTAACTAAGTGGACTAGACGGGTTAAGTTAATTTATTATATTGTTGTAAATAAGTGTCTATATACACTTAAAAAATACATAATTGTATTGAGATACATAATTGCAAAATAGAATGACATATAGATTATAAAGTATTAGAACAGAATAAAAACATGGGAATAAATATATAATGTGTGTTCATCTAAGTAATCAACAATTCTCTTATAATTTATTGAATACAATAAAATGAAAAATAAAGTTATCCATTTTTTGCTTAAGTGAGAGTCTCGACTTAGGCGGGCGCCTAGGCGGTCTAAGCGGACATTTACGCAAGTTTAGGCGCCCTTTCTTAATTTTTAAATGCCTAAGAATCAATCAAAGCGCTGGTCAACCGCCTAGCATTTAGACTAGGCCTAAGCGGTGCTAGGTGGAGATTTTTAGAACAGCGGTTAATTGGGGTTTCTTTCTATCACTTTTTTAGGGTTTTCAGTAAATAGGTTGACTTGAATTATGTGCACATTCTTCGTGTAGAAAGAAACTATAGCTCAATTTATGTTGCCAAGTTTCCGTGCGTCCTGGTGCATATGTAGAAGTTGAAGGACTTTGTTTTTTTGTTTTATAGCTGAGCTTGTGCTTTGAATTAGAAGATAATTTTCGGCACAAGTTATTGTCCCTCAACGGGGATCAGAAAGAATTTTAGGCTCAAGATTCTTTATACCTCATTATCCTTTGCTAAGTGACAAAATATGCATAGATATGCATAGAGAGAAAAAAAAAGGGAATGGGAAACGCCAACATGTTATTATTAGCAAACCTTAGCTGGCCTGAAATTGTCAAAAGCTGATCACCTATTTCCCTTTTTGATTTTTAACAAATCTCTTATGAATCCTTCACTTGGTACCGATAGAATATGTCTTTCTCGTTCTCTCATGTTATTCTCCAAGCCTGTTTTGTTATCTATTGCTAATAGTAGTACGCCTTTCTTACCGTCAAGTTGAGTTGAGAGACATCTTGACCAACTCTTTTCCAGAGTATTTATACAGCTAACCCTGAAATTGTGTGAAAAGACAGCCTTATCACGTAGTCAGTCATCAGTTTTCAATACTACCTTGGTAACGAGTTTGTTGTATAACATGCACTTCTAGACGGTACAAGTAATGTGTGATATTGGCATGTTATGTAATATTATGTTGACAAATAACATTTTGCTTCATCTGAAAAAAATTTCTTGTTAAATCTGATGAGTCATTATGACTTTAGTCCACAGATTTCTCACGGGACCATAATAGCATAAGAGTTGTTGATTATATTAATCTGGAACATGATAGATCCAGAATCACTTGCGATAAATTAGTCAGCTAGCTTGAGAAAAAATGGATGTTTGTTTTGCCTTGCCTAATCATAATGTATTGAATATGTTCAGGTTCAGTGTATGGGACGTACGAAGCTTTAAGGTTTAAGGTACATCCTCAGATCTTGTCTCTAGTTATTTTCATCTTTCGTCTCATGGTTTTTCATTAATACTTTTTTAAGCTGCCACAACTAATGTATAAAAACTGAGCATACGGGAATGTCTATCTAAACACTATGTGCTTGAGATCAATATATATATCTAAGATGGTGAGGGACAAAAGTCAGGTATTGTTTGGGGTGTGGGTTAACTTTGAAATCAAAGAGAGAAAATATGTGATTGGAGTCCGAAGTCAGTGAAATAACCAGTTGAAAAACAACCATTCTCAAGTTTGCGGACTTTCTGAAGCCACAAATGCCAAAAGAGACAATGGAGTGACCTTCCAGAAATACCTTCAATTTTTGCTCAGAAATAACCCATGTCACCCAGCCAGTAACAATCCCACTGGATCTGGCATCAATCAACAACCTCAAATAAAGAAAACGTTTTATACCCACTACTCCTTTAGGTAATGCAAGGTTCATCCAACAAAAGTATTGGCCGTAATCTGAGTGATGGTTATGCTAGTGGCATGAGATCAATGAAAACTTCAAATGGTACATATATGATGATTCAATTAACATTAGTGGTATCCATGTCCAGAACACAAATTGTTAACGATCCTATCATTTGTGATTAGGATGCAATAAGACCAAATATCATTGCAATTGTATTTCACATGTTAAAGTATCAAACATTGTTGTTAATAGTCTGCCATGCATTGAATTTTATTGTTGTAATTATGCTTGCCCAAATGAAAAATTGAACACACATGTACTGCGTGTTGCAGGTGCCAGGATTTCTGAAGATCAGGCACATTGGACAAAGAACAGTGTCGAGTGCGGCTCTGTTCGGTCTTTTCTTAGGTGCTGGAAGCTTGATACATTGTGGGAAGTCATATTGAGCTCTTTCCAGTCTTAGATGAACTAATTTTGTTCTGTTTACAAAGTTCTGCTTTTGGACACGAAGTTAGATGTTCTGTTTACAAAGTTCTGCTAAAGATGTTACTTTTTTTTTTTGATGTTTCTGCCTTCAACATTATATTGGAATTGTTTTTCGATTTCTTTCTCTCGACAATTATTTATAATTGTCCTAAGGTGACGCAGACAATTTTATTATCTAAACGGTTTGCAATGTTCTAAAAGACACTAGGCGCTTGTCTGGTGGCAGGATAGGGCTTAGTGCCTAAATGGCCAGGCGGGGGCCTAAACGGGCTGTGGATTTGAGTAATTTTATTATATATCGTATAAATAAATGTTTGCTTATACTTAAAAATTACATAATTGCATTGAGATACATAAATTCCAACATAGAATGATATAAATTATAAAGTATTAGAACATAATGAAAACATGGAGAATAAGCATTTAATGTGCGTTCGTTCAAGTATTGAACAAGCCTACAATTTATTGAAAAAAGTAAAATGCAAAATGAACGTTATTTATTTTCTGTCTAACTGAGTCATGATCTAGGCGGATGCCTAAGTTGACTAAGTGGGAGCTTGAGCGGGCTAGGCAGGAGCCTAGGTGGGTCTAGGTGCATTTTCTTAATTTTCACATGCCTAAGAGTTAATCGGAGTGGTGATTAGCAGCCTAGCTCTTAGGCTGTGCTAGGTGGGAATTTTTAGAATAGCGTTGGTTTGTATGTTACCTGATTGCAGAAAACATGGTAATAGCATCGATAGGTCTTCAACCAAAAAGATAAAAAGAATGATTGTGGAGTTCTTGAGCTTCTCATCACTGCTTAGCTTGTTTTTGGTTCTGATTTTTGGATTTTACAGAATTTGGAAAGAAAAAAAATGGTCAAAATGTAACCAATCATTATAATTTTGACCAAAACTTGATGTAAAAATACTTAAATCTTGTTCACTCGGAACCTTTGTCAGACTACTCGTTCAAACTCTTCCCAATACTGTAGAAGGTTGTTCTGCACTATTTCTGAGTCAATCAATGCTTTCCTCTCTTGTCCCTCTGAGCATGCAGCTCTGCTTCCCTGACCATCTTTTCAATCTCCCTGTCGGTAAGACCTCCAGATAAGCGGAGAGTAATCTTCTTCTCATTGTTGGTGACCTTGTCCTTGGCAGAATTAGTGACAATACCATTGGCCTCAATATCAAACGTGACTTCGATCGAGGCAGGCCCCTTGGTGCTGGAGGAATGCCTACGAGTTCAAACTCTCCCAACATCTTGTTGGTAGAAGCCATCTCACGCTCTCCTTGTAGCACCTCAAATTGGAGCTACTTAATATCATTCCTCAAAACGGAGAATTGAAAATCATACTTAATAGCTTTACTTAGTTAAATAATGAGTTGGTTGCTAATAATTAGGAAATATGGTTGCAATTGCCAGCTAGCAATAGTTGCTTGGGTTGTTATATATAGGCACTAGGGTGTGTAGTTGGCCAACAGTCATTTTGATTAAACAACTATAATACAAAAATAAAACTGAGAGCATTTGCTCTTCTTCTTCTTCATCATGCCTTCCTCCATTCTTATTGAGCTATAGGTTGATGCTGAAGCAAGTGTTATCATTGGGATCAACCAATCGATCTTGGATTTCCCTTGATTTGTATGCCCCGTCACACAAACACTTCACATTTTTCTACCATGGACGTTCGTGTTGTTGCGCTCGAATCTTCTGTTGCTGTGATTCTTGAGGCCATATCTACCCTTCCTAACGCTCTTGATGCTAAAATGGTTGCTTAATCAATATCGTCGCGAGCTCCTTTATGGGAAAGGTAAAGCTTCTTCTTCGGAGACCGTTCATGCTAATTCAACTGGTGCATCTGATGAAGCTGAACCATAAGAATTGGGCTTTCATCGCGAGATCTATGACGGTGAAGGTCAATCACTGCAGCCATAGTGGCAGCAATGCATTGATTTTCCTGTTTCATTGAAGGAGAAGACCTTCTCGCCTGGATCTACAAGGCAGAACAATTTTTTGCCTACTACTACACATCTGAGCACCAGAAAGTAGTGATAGTTTCCTTTCACTTGGAAGGAGAGGCTCTTCAGTGGTTCCGCTAGATGAATTGCCTTCAAACCACCCCACATTAGGAAGAGTTCACCAAAGCCTTTTGTAGAGAATTTGGTCCATTTGAATTTGAGGATAATGCTGAAGCTTTGTTCAACCTCTGTCAATCAGGTACTCTAAATGACTACATACTTGAATTTAGACGTCTTGCTAATCATACTAAAGAAGTTGGTCCAAGTCCGCTTAAGAGTTGTTTCTCAGGGGATTTGAAATGTGAATTGAAGTATGATGTTAAGTTGTTTAGGCCTGCTAATGTTCATGAGGCAATTGCCATTTCTGTGCAATTAGATGAGAAATTAGTTGAGCTTAAAACCACTACATATGTTGCATCACAGAGTGTTAAACCTCCTCCATTGGCCTTACCTCATGCTGTCTACCCAAAAACTAGACAAATAGCACTCCCATTTACAAAACTCACTCCCATTGAAGTCTAGTGTAAGAAGGAGAAAGGAGAATGTTGGTATTGTGAAGAAAAGTGGGTGAGTGGTCACAAATGCAACCAAAACCAATTACTCATGCTAGATATGGTTCAAGGGGAGGATGAAGATGTTGAGATCAATGAAGAAGTTCAGAGTGAGTTCTAACAAATGTCTCTAAGTGAAGTAGCTTTTTATGGTACTACAACTAGTAAGATACAAACCATGGAAGGTTGAAAGGTTAGTGAACAAACAGCCTGTGCAAATTTTGCTAGATTCTGGAAGTAGTCACAACTTCATTGATTCAAGGCTGGTTAAACAATTAGGTTGGCAACCGCAACACACCAAGTCTTTTGATGTCATGATTGCGAATGGGGAAAAAAGTAAGAAGTCAGGGTTACTGCAGGAATGCATCCTTGGAAATTAGTGTTATATTTGTTCATCTGATTTATACTCTCTACCATTAGGTGGTTGTGATTTGGTATTGGAAGTACAATGGTTATCCACCATCAGTCATGTCTTATAGGACTTTAGTTGTTAACTATGGAATGGTAATGTGCACTACAAGCTCAGTCATACAGATCATGTACCATCACCAATGCAGGAGATGTCATTCCAACAACTTGACAAGGAATTTTACAGTTCCAATTTGGGTATGTTTTTGTATTCTATAGAATCTGGTAAAATTGAGGCTTCTGATTTGGATAGTTATCAGCTCATTGAATTACAGAAGTTACCAGGGAACTTCCAAAGACATATTTGTGATTCCCAATGCCCATCATTCTCAAAGAGAGCATGATCACATAATTCCTTTACTACTAGCAATTAGGCATTATCACTATGGACCTCTGCATAAAGCTGAAATTGACAAAGCTATTCATGAGTTGTTGCGGGCTAGATTTACTAGGCCTAGTCACAACCCATTTTCTTTCCTTGTGCTCTTAGTAAGGAAGAAGGAAGTTACTTAAAGGCTATTTATGAACTATAGAGAGTTAAATTCAATCACCATCCAAGACAAGTATCCAATTCCCTTGATTGATGATTTGCTAGATAAGTTATTTGGGGCCAAGTACCTCGCCAAGTTGGATTTAAGATCTGGTTATCATCACATAAGGATGGATCCATTGGATATTGAAAAGACAGCCTTTAGAACCCATGAAAGCCACTATGAGTTCTTAGTTATGCCCTTTGGGTTAACTAATGCTCCTGCAACCTTTCAAAGTTTAATGAATGACATATTTAAACCCCACTTGAGGAAATCATCTTGGTGTTCTTTGATAACACCCTAGTATATAGCAAGTCCTAGAGTGATCACCTAAGCCATCTATAGACTACCTTTGAAGTACTCATACATCACCAACTCTTTGTCAAAAAATAGAAATGCAGTTTTGGGCAAAGTCAAGTGGAGTACCTTGGTCACATTGTATCAGGTGAGGGAGTTGTTGTAGATCCTGCTAAACTAAAAACTATTGTAGACTGGCTTATACCTAGCAATGTGAAGGAGTTAAGGGGATTCCTAGGGTTTATTGTTACTATAGGAAGTTCATTCCAGGTTGTGGCAAGATTTGCAAACCCTTGTAAAAGCTAACTAGGAAAGATGGGTTCTATTGGTCTCAGGCAGCTGAGGATGCTTTCTAGCAGCTCAAGAAGGTTGTAATGTCACCACAAGTCTTTGCATTACCTATTTTTTACCTGCAATTTAAGATTGAATATGATGCATCTGGTTAGGGTATTGGGGCAGTTCTACAACAACAGGGCAAGCTTATTGCCTTCACCAGTCAAGCATTAAGCCCAAAGAATTAAGCATTATCAACCTACGAGGGAGAACTAATTGCAGTGGCCCATGCAATGAGAAAATGGCACAATTATCTATACGGAAATCATTTTGTGATTGAATCAGACCATAATAGCCTTTAAGTTCTTTCTCAATCAGAGGGCTAACACCACTTTTCAGCAAAAATGGATTACCAAATTGCTGGGTTATAACTATGAAATACAATACAAGCATGGCAGTGACAATGTGCAAGCAGATGCCTTAACAAGACAGTCTGGAATTGGTGATAATTTTAAGGGTTCTAATGATCAATTGGGGAGTGAATTACAGTGCAAGGCAATTACTTACCATATTGTGGTTGGAAGGATGAATTAAGAAGAACCAATGAGAAAGATGAGTGGATATTGCAAATAATTCAGAAGGTTATTTCCCAAACTGCAGACACATATACCAGCTTGAACAACCAATTACCAAAGTTCCAGTTTGAGAATGGGTTTCTCAAATACAGTTCCAGGATTGTAGTGAGTCCTACATCTCCTTAAAGGTCTAAGATCTTTGAAAAGCACCACTGCACCCAAATGGGAGGACACGAGGTGTATTAAAGACCTACCACAGAATTTAAAAGGGTTTTTATTGGTTGGGAATGAAAAAGGACGTTAAGAATTAGGTTGCTGAATGCATAATTTGTCAACAGAATAAATATGAAACTGTTGCACCCCTAGGATTACTGCAACCTCTTCCTATTCCTCAACAAGTGTGGTTTGACATTAGTATGGACTTTGTGGTTGGTTTACCTCTGAGTAAGGGAAAATCAGTAATTATGGTGGTAGACAGGCAA